AAAATCACCCATAACTCCAGCTGCCCGTGTGATCTATGGCTAGCAAAATCGTGAGAAGAAACCCCAACTGGGAAGACGGGCTTACGACTTCCTTATCTGACTTAGAAAGGGGAAACGTATCACCTCACGACCCCACTCATGGGGACAAACAACAAACTACGAAACAAATCTGAGAAACTTGTCTGTGGCAGATAATAGATAATCCACAACCTTGGAATTTTGGAATAAACAACTTCTGAGATATCGAGATTCCAAACTATAACCATTTCCCACCTTATAGACTCCATATCGACGTAGTGATGAACCACAATTAGTCAAAGTTGAATACAGTCGTGTCAGAAAGCTAATGAACAACGGTGTGAATTCAACATTTTTTATTTATTTTAAACTTCATCAAAATACTGAGATTGCCTACTTTGTAATAATGGAGAACGCATTCAAGTTCAAAATGTAAAAGAAAAAACTAAGTAACTCAAAAATTAATGTTTAGCCAGTCACAAACGACCCAAAAATCTACGTTGTGGCAGACAGAAACTGCTAATAAGCATATTTGGATGCCAACAGAACTGATAACAACATCATTCAACGACTTCAACCAATCTCATGTTAAAGGGTCTGTCTCACTCTCAGCAATGTGCTTGTAATGGCTTCTTTGCACATAAAATCGTGCAAGATTCTTACTGAAATTTACAGCAGAAAATTACCTGTTAGCTATTTCAGAGAGACCTTGCTCTTCCCAAATTTTAACAAAATAGCCTACCATTGCCTGCATAACACAAACACACCAAAATAACTTTTTCATATAATGCACTTCTAATTTGAAAAGGAAAGAATGCGTCTCACAGAACTTACAGGTAATGGTATAGGCGGACGGAAATGTTCTCTAGAGAAAAGCATGTCATCTGAACTTGCTGTCAGGCTGAAAGAGATGCCTCGGTTAATTTTGGTAAACATGATATGGAATTATGGATACTCATAGAAAGGTACACTCGGACCAATGTTGAGCTATTGCAACATGTACAGGTTTACTGAAGTAAAAGATTCCACATAATATTGACAAGCCAGACAATGAAAAACATGATATACATCATACATGTATAGTGCTAAGAAGCACAGTTAAAAGACAGCTCTCATTTACTAAATTATGGAATGAATTCACAGAGTAGTCAATAAATTTGTCCATAGAAATCTTGATTGTTCGATTTAGTTGACATCTACATTTCTGAATGAAGAACCCCTATTTTTAACAGTTGTATTAAGAGAATAGATGAAAATCAGAAATATGCACGTACCATATAGTTGAGTCTTTAGATGGTCTCTGTGATTTTTTTGACTGATCACCGACCCATTCTTTCCTCATTTTATTCCACGCTATCTCAGCTGCATGAGAACGAGAATATAGTTGAGAACATTCTAAGAGGCCTAAAACTGGAATGCATTTGACAGAGGAGAAATCAAACATTAAGAAAAGTCTCCACATAAGTCAACATCAAAATACGACAATTCTGTTAAATATATTTCATATTTTCGAAATGATTTCATATTCCATATATTATTATTTTCACACATTCTTATTTTCCTACTAGGAAGCACAGGCATACACTATTAATCAAGTTGCCTCGTGACTTACCTAGGAAACAAAGGACTCTAAAATGTTACTCTGAAAAGTTTAAAACATCCCAAGTGAGGAGAAAAAACAAAAACAATACTTGAGGCGTGCAAAACTTATTAATTTAAAGTTAAACAAACACACTGAGTTTTGTTGCAGATCTGTCTAAGTTCAATGTGCATAGATACCCTAAAAACTCATAGCATGAGAGAGACACTATTTCCTAATGCATGCTAATTCTTACTTTAAGTAGAACTATCGGTAATATCTGTCAGAAAAGGGCATACCATGGTTTACAAAGTCTTCTTTCTCGGGCAAATTACTTTTGCTAGTACCATGCAAGCCCCTTGAAGAATCATTCTGATGCGCATTTGAACTACAACCGATCTTTTCCATCTTCTATGGAGAGCCTTATAACATTGCCTTCTAAACTACTAGCCTGTATAGAAAGTATATGGAAAAAAAAAACTCTTTATTAGAGGGAAAGCTTTCCACTCATGCTATATGAATATAAACTATACAATCATTTGAAGGCCGCGACATGAAACTTAATGTTTTTAGAAGATTTGGCACTCATGCAAAAGAGCTTCTAGTTAAGCAATTGAAAATGCAGTACCAGTTGGAGGTGCCAAAATGAAATAATACTTATGCAGCCTCTAAATTCATATTCAAAACTAACAATTGTAAATACAAAGTCTATTTCTCAATACCAAAAACCAAACTATTCAGGAACTAAAAATTTCAGAAAGAAAAAAAAACAATTTGGAGTGGATTTGACTCTTTTAAAGTAATCACATTTCATTTACAAGGTAAAGTAAACAAACCCAAACCATCAATGAATAAATCAATAGTAGATGTAACATGCACATTCATAATAAATCATGAACACTTTGCAATACAAACTGGAAGTTTCTCATAGTCAAAGATAATATTAGGATTGAAGTTCCCCAAACACATATTCCCCTGCAGTTGCGAATAGGAAAATTCGTCTATCAACACGATCTATATACTGATCATTGTTGTGTTCAGATTAAACGATTAGCAGAATATGAAGATTTTTACTTTTCTGAAAACCCAAAATACCGATGACAAAGTCCATACCCTCCAATCTCGCACAAATTATCACCAACATATCGACAACGCGAAATCAGGATTTCCCAACGGCAGAAAACCTTGATCCCTCACTTTTGTTGTGACAGTAACGTGGTAACATTTTTTATTCAAACAATACATACATTGATGCTGAACCAATAATTCACAAGCACAAAGGTTTTAAAAAACGGTGGCATTCGCGTAAAGGGTTTCGAGATTTCGGTCAGTACAAGTGTTGCGACACTTCATGCGTGAATTAACCATAATTTGTTCTTAAACATAAAAACGGTGAATAACAGTATGCCTAGGTGCCAATACCCGATACCGTTTTGTAGCGGTCGTGGACCATTTGCACAATACAACACCTCAAATCAAATATAAATAAACCCTATACCATTTCTTTGACTTGTATACTACACAATCAATGGTACCAACTCAATAAACGACCTTGTATTTCCCGATCACAATTTTTTTTGCAGCAATTGAACGGAATTCAATTTTTTCAATGCAACACTATCATCATTTCAATGAAACTGTAAAAGCAAATAATATTCATGATAACAAAGCAAAAAAAAAATCAAGAATACTAAGTAAAGTGCAATTATTTCATCAAGAAAAGAATTGATTGATAAAGAATTCAATGTTTACAGTGATGGTGAATATGAGTTGAGGAATGGTGTTGTGAATATTAGGGTTTGGGGATTGAATTCGAAAGAGAAATGGAAAGAAGGGAAAAACCTTTTGGGGACTGTGCAGTGTGAGTTGCACGGCACCGAAGCGAGGGAGATGAAAAATAGCGTCACAGTTTTGTTTAGAAAGAAAAAATCAATAATTGAGAATTTAACATTTTGTCGTTGCATTCAATAATTGAGAATTAAATTAATAGGAATAAAAAGATAAGTTTAATACCAGTAGTGCACTGTTTTGTAAAAAAATATTGCACAGAGATCCAATTAAAATATTTTAAAGTGATAAATCATAAAAGTATTTTAAAATTTATAACGTGATTTAGTGTTTTATATAATTGTTATTGACAGTATAAAAATATTTTACAATATTAATACATTATTCTTTTAAAATAATATAAAATATTTGAAAAAATATATATAAATTAATTTTACACCGTGAATCAATAACAATCATTTATTTTATCACATACATTTTTTTTTGATAATATAAAATATTATTGATTTTTTATTAGATAACATCATAAAATTTTACTTTATCAATACATATTTATTAAATCCAAAATATTTAAAATACAATGTTTTCTTGACATTTATAATTATCTATGGTCAATCAATTAAATCATCTTAAATTAACTCAAACGGTTATGGTTATAGAGACGTAACAATATATAATTTTTTATTTTATTTTATTTTAAACTTTTTAAATATAAAATACTTATGCAATATTTTATAATGAGGAGGGAAATTCTTATAAAAATCAAGAATTAATAAAAATTAATGATTGAAATTTGGAATACTCTTGTAAATTTACTTTTGGAATAAAAGTATCTCTTCTTTTTTATAATAGATTATAAACAAATTGAATTTATTTAATGAAAAGATCTTCAAAATATTTATCTTTAATATTTGAATTTATGTGTATTTTGAATGAACCATTATTAGTTATTAAGGGTAATTTGAAAAATAGGCTTGCCTTTCTTATTTTTTTGAATAATGTTAACTTGTGTTTTTAAAATAGAAATTTAAATAAAAAATTTATGTTGAAAAAATGATGAAAAGAGTTATTATAAATTGAATATCGCTTCTCTCTACAATTTTTTCAGTAAGTTCTTTCATTTCAACATACTTATTATCATGTTTTTAATCAATTGATTTTTTTTCTTCTTTCGGAAACACCGTTTTGCTGCTGTGTATAGGGTGATACCATGCAATATTCCCTCTTCATCACAAAACTTCCCAACGTTATTTGAGACAAATTTGCCTCCATCATCCGTTTTGAAAACATTGAGCTTGTATAAATATGGGTCATCTGTTATTGAGAAAAACATCTAATAATGTATCTTCTTCAATTTTTTATTAAGGCAGAAGTGCACTTCAACGGAGTGGAATCTCCTGTAGAGTTTTGACTTCTGAAGGATACCACATGTCTCGTCGTCTTGAGATCCATGTTGAATGATTTGTTGCCTGATATCGAGAATATAAAGGTGGATAAGATCGAGTTTCGTGAAGACTGCATTGATATTGATGGAAAGGTGAAATACAATATTATTGAGTTGAAGACATATGAAGATTTAAAGGTTTGTGGAGAATATTTCATTGTAGGCTAACTAAGTGATTGATCGAGCTTGATGCAACAATTTCAAGATCTGTCGATGACATAATCAAGATGTGGAAACATCTAGAATCATCTAGTAGTGTCTAGGTTTTCATGTTCGCTATTGTTAATTTATATTAGTTGTAATGTCTTAAGTTATGTTCATCTTCCAAACATGTAATCGACAATATATTATGTAATAAAAGGCACGGTGCTAAATAGTTTAAGTCACAAAATATACAAATAATACTAATGTAAAATCAAATAGCTAAATAGGTCCCCACGGGCTATATGTGCTGCCAGCGATAATTTTGTAAAAACCTTACCATTTGGGTTTACCAAACCAATGAGGTTATCCATAATAACAACGATCATCTGCAGGCGATGCTGGTCATCAACATCAGGTGGATGCGGCGACACGTCATTGGTAGGTCCCCCAATATCTGAAGGCACAACATCATATGTATGCTTAATATGTGGAAGGATGCGAGAGTGTGATACAATAAGGTACCACTCCAGGTCTCCATCTTCACATTGTGCATCATGTTGAACCCTAACTACGCTATCTGCAATGGCACAAGAAGAACTGATGATGTTACTTTGAAAACACCTGTCAATTCCCGAAGATGGAACATCCAGAACTGGTCATGGAATGTCCTAGACATGCCCATATTATCGCAGACACCTCTCAGGTAAGTGTCTAGCCACTAAGGTCTTTCATCATATATTACCAGAAAATAGAGAAGCCTTATCAAACTCACAATAGACTTTGTGACATGTATAGAGTTTCCATATGACATCCTCTACTGTCAGTACATCAAGCCTCCTCTTATACTCTGCAACACCATCTAGATGTGCTTGTCTGATATTCCATCTCCTCGCCGGTGGAGAGCATGCAGGGGTATGTTGTAACACCCTGATTTTTTATTATTTTATCTTAATTGAGTTTTTGAGGGTTTTAGATTTATTTAATTATTTTTAAGGATTTTTTGGTAGAATTATATAATTAAACTAGTGTAGAAGTGGAAAATATTAGTTTTATTGTTAAAATATAATTTATTTAATAATTTAATTAATGGAAATTGTGAGAAATATAAGCTTTTGGTGATGATTAGAATTTAAAATAATTTGGGAGAAGGATAGAATTAGTGAAAGTTGAGGGTAATTGGTAGAATACAATATAATAAAATAAAAATAAGGTTTTTATTTAAATAGAGAAGGGAAGGTAAAAAGTTTTCAGTATGTAGAATTTTGGGAGAAAAGGCTAAAGAGAGAAAAAGGCAACCATATGAGAGCTTTTGAAGGATAAGAGGAACTTCATTATCGTAGCTTCAACCTTTATGTGAATTTGAGGTAAGGGGAAAACTATTCATCTATGAATGTTTATTGCAAAAAGGATAGAGAGGATCCTCTATCATCTTTCATTTTTCTTTTCTTTTTCTTCCATTGATGAGGTTTTTGAAGCTTGAGAAGGTTTGTGCAAATTATTAAGGGTTTTGTGCTCTATTGATTGTAAATTGGTGCAATTATGTATGCCTATTATTGAGTGTTGATGTTCATGAGCATAAATATTGAATTGATAAAATATGTTGATGCCTCATGATTAGGCGAGATATAAAATGTTGAATATGTGAAGTTGATGTAATAAAATGTTGAATATGTGACGTTTGATTCACATTGTTCGTGTTCATGTTTACATGTGTGTATTGGGGCGGGTGAGACTCAAACAGGCGAGTTTTGGATATGTTCAATAGGGAGAAAAATACAGAAAATCGCAGGTAGACATAGAAGGGGATTAACTGTCTGTTTCATACGTAACTTGAGTTTTGTAAGTCTGTTTGAGGTGTCGTTAGTTGCGTTAAAAAACTAACACAAAAATATTTCTTTTGAAATGGGAAAATTGAGTTTACACTACAATAAATAAACCATTTTGTGACACATGAGTTGAGACCCTTACTTAATAATTGTCCTTATTCTCTATCCACGACATTTGCTGCAACGGCTAAACCCAACTGCCTCAA